TACTTTTAACCCATCTACAAACATACGCAATCGTGTTGCCAAAAAGGACAAACGTACGCAATCGTTTTCTACCCACAAGCGCCTAGCTGAATATGTATAAGCAACCAGTACGATTATAGCTACTGTTCTATGATTATGGGCGTTTTCAGACGAGACACTTTGTAGCCGGCTACTTATGTCTGAAAACAATCTCGCCACTAAGATAACATTGCTATATTATTCTATACTCGTACACACGAGACACAGACACGGACCGTGTGTCGCGCCACCGAATCGGCGTGTTTTGTCCCCGTCAGCCGCCAGACACCACCAGATTCCAGTGGACGGCTACAAAGTGTCTCGTCTGAAWGCGCTCTATAGGGACAAACGTACCTATCCATATTCCATGCCGTGTTTCTCATCACAGACTGTCCCATAGGCCATAGTTGTATYGTCATAAAGATAATTCGGTATTACGCTAAACTTACTCTATACTTAGACTTGTTGCTAGTCAGTCTATATACAAGTATAATTTATATTGTACCTATGCTGGACAAGCAACAACCATATTTTTCAGTGCTGACAATATAATTAAGTAGGTAGGTACCTGCCTAAATTATAATATTTTTATCAAATATTTTRAGACAACGTCATTTAGGTACAATATTCCTTTTTTAAAAATATTTTCAACAATCTTGATTTAACGATATTTCAGCTAAGTATTTAAGACTGAATACGGGACACAAAAATTCAACCAATTTATTACGCGCGTAAAATTGTTACATGATACGAGAACTTTACCGGTCATCAAAAATCTAATAAAATATCCAAAAAATAATAAGATCACCGATTTGTAAGGGAACCAATTCGATCACTCGGTATAATAATTAGTAATTTTTGTCAAGAAGACGAGAACCAATATTATTCGTACAAATGTACAATCGTACATTTTATTTTTTTTCGGGAATAACCGATTTCGTAGTTTCTAAGCTTAGTAAGCTTAAGTGAACTAATAAATTAATATAGTAGCCAGTAGGTACCTATTGTCTACGCAACTCAACTGTARCCACTTTAAAATTTTGCGATCATCTGACTTACCTGAAAAAGTTTTTGCCATAGTGCATGACACTGTCATAATCGTATTCAAACTGATAAGTAGTGTTTTTCAAACTCTGTTTGTCAAAATTCGAACGATATTCTAGAAAACAGTAAGTAATAATTATTGTTAGTTAAGTGACTAAGGCCCGACGACGTTAAGAAACTAATAATAATATAGTTTCTTGATTACGTACGGGGTATGACGTTTTCGATATTAATCTTAACAAATTTATCACGGTCAGATCTGGATTGCTCGTGGAAAACGCCTAGAGCGTGTAATAATTCGTGAATAGGTCGTCCGTCGGTACCTAAGCAATTGGCTCCAGTTTCATCCGGTGGCTGCAGGGACACAACTTGAGGTCCCCCGTAACGGCCCACGTATGACCAACACCTATATATTATTAAAATACCAAAAGCAGTCGTATCAATATTATGTATATTATGTCAACATTGTCAACGGTGTATCGGTGTTAAAATAATATATCGATTGAATGAAAATTAGACTGATACAATRTATATTAAAATAAATTGAAACATTTTAGTAGACAGCCTTTAAATCATTGTTTTAYTTWTGTCGAGTATAATATTAATTATTCCCGTAGGCGGGTACCTAATATAATTTTATAYCGTRTAAATATAATTATTATTACCTACTATAATTTTATTTATAATTTATATTGCATGATAATTTATACTGACATACTGTATAATAATATATTCACATATCACATAATGTGAATCACATTCATATGTTATTGGGACTTGGGAGTATAGGTTAGGTYAGGTTACCAATACTTATATATTATCTTCAAAAAATTATTATTGATCACATAAGACATAACACAAAAAAAAATTAAAATATTTTCTTCAAATAATTATTGCTTAAATCTTAAATTTTTGAATCAGAACTCTTRAAAATATAATTAAAATTTTAAGAAGATTTCAGGGGATATCTATTTAGAAATATAGAATAGCCGGGTGACGTTGTTGGGTCGAAAAACCGAGGTCAATGTAATTCCCTATCTTACAACTGGAAWAGTTTATCTATATTTACTCAATGATTTTTGTGCTTATAAGACGATAGAAGTGTCAGAATCGTAATATAACTTTTTTTAAATATTAAAAATACTAAAAAGTAAAAAGATAATKACCAGTTGCGCCATATCGTATCGTGATAAATTACCACAGCAGTTACAAAACGAATCGGTACAAAAAGTACCTAGGTATGCGTAACAACAATTTATTTTATAAGATTTTAAATATTTAAAAAAATGTCTAGTTCCACTAATTTTTTGAGTGCATAAAAAAACACATTACATTCGGACTACGTACAATAAAAATCCATAAATATACTTTAAATGTAATTAAATTACCTACCTGTTATGTGAAATTAGTAACTTATGTCACATGAGATAGGTAATAACGGCGTGCCCTGCTCAATGATGTATGTCACTAGTCTTTTTCCAATAATTCTTCATAACTTATTGAATAATGAAATTAGAAAATGTTAAACTTATTTACTTATACAACTTTTCTTAGAAATTAACTTTTTTTTAAATTAAACAATTTTTTGTTGTTTGTGTTTTGCTCCTTATTTAAGTACCCAGTAATCTAAGAAACTACTGAACCAATAAATTGGCACCGAATTTTGCATAAATATTCTAATAAATATTAAGACTCGGCATCGTTAATATATTTCCTATATTATCCATGTAGGTTGTTATAGTGTAACTCACACATTAATTTTATTTTGGCTCACGAATATCAAATCATTTTTTGTTTATATTTAGTATTGTCATTGGTTACAGAAATTTTTAATAATATATGTATATTATAGGTAGAGACACTGGTTATATAATATAATCCGACCTTGAATGGGCCAAAGTTAATCTATCTTTCTATCCTCTTCCGTTTTGCTTCAGTTGAAATAGGACAAAGGACACTTTAGATTGGTATTCGCCAATGATATATGTGAATAAAGTAATATATTAAAAAAATTCAATAGTACGCCAGTGGTGTGCAGAACATTTTTCAGACCTGAGGCAAACTATACAATTGTCAATTTGACACCCACCCTACAACCATCAGGTTTTTCACTTAGTAAAAAATCGTATACATTTATATGATATTTAAAATGYACGATCAAACTAGTGTCCAGTTRGCCAGTTGCACACCTTAGTAACCCACCCACCCGTATTTTCTCTGAGGCAGTTGCCTCAAAAAATAGCGRTTCAGCACGCCAACGAATAATATTTTTAATTATAACAAATAATAACTAAGATCTTATTTTCGTTCAGTATTATATTATACATTTTATTATTTTATTCGTGAAATATATATTTCGTTCGAATTTGAACTTAGAATGTTTGTAAAAAAAAATACTGTATAACATCTTTTGATTTTTGGTTTTTGTGGCAATATGAATGCACTACGTACGAGAAAACTTCATTCAAATTTTCAATAYTATTAACTATAAAAAATKAACATTTTATAAATTCTAGTTGGCAAATTTTCGAGGTTATGATGAATTTTGTAAATTTTAAACATTAAATACTTATAAAAAAATTAATATATGTATCTGAAATATTTTTTCAACTTCAATTGTAACAACTTATAAATCTTAAATTGTTCAAGCTTTTCACCCAACGAAATTTTTTTTTTAAGTAAGAAAACCTTGAGAAATCATGTATTACATCTAAAAATCTTAGATTTAAATATAAAATTGTCAAAAATTTATAACTGTTGCAAATGTTCGTAATTTTAACAAAATTTTAATTTCAGACGCTCATAAAAAAATAATTTGGATTTATGCTCAATTTTTTTTTTAAATTCCTCTAACAAAAATTTATAATTTATATAAGAAACGTTRCATCAAAAAAATAAAACTAATGGAAATCGAAATTTTATTATTTTTATAGATAACTCGAAAATAGCTCAAAATATTTAGAAAATTATAAGGTATATTAATGCAAATCTCATGTACTTTGTACATATCTACAGTTTTTTTTTGTTTTTCTCGGATCATTTGAAAACTATTGAACATTTTTGTTTTTAACCCCTACTAGTGCTAGGTACYAACTAGAAATTTCCTATCAGAAAATAGGCCGCAGAAGAAAATCAAAGAATTTTAGTGTCCCAAAAAAAAGTGAAGACGTACAAAAAATAAAAATAAAAACTCGCGTTTTGAATTAAATCCATCCATCACTCCACTCAGAATTTAAAATGAATGTATGTTTGTATGTTTGTTATATACTTTAATCTACTCTATAAATTATACAATACTAGGTACCTGCCATATTATTTATAAAACAAATCGTATTATATTTTTTACAACTTATTATTATTATACATAATCACCCAGAAGGATATTTCACCGGCCATATCAGCAAATAGTCCTTTTCTTTGCCGGTCCACGGCACGAATTTGACGCAAGTCAGAAAGTTTATCGTCCTGATAGCTTGGTATATCAGAATCCGGTGCTCTGTTTCTGAAACGGTAAAACAAGAATATTATTATGGTATAAAAATAAAAACTGTTTCAATAATTTTATCGATTGTGTAATCACATAAATCACGCATGTTGATGTCAGTTCGTAATAATTTTTAAACATTTTAATGATATAATAATATTACAAAATATCAATGAAAATAAATACATTTATAAATATATGACGACTGTAAAAATAATAATTGCATGCATACCGTAGAGTGGGCTTATCAAATATGGCACGGTGCGGTTGAGCCAGAGTTTCTCTGGGAAAATGTCCCATCGTAGGCCGACCCGCCAATAATCGAAAATCTGTAAAATTAAGTACAATATATTAAATGTTAAACGTAGGTAGAAAGATCCTGCGACACTACATCTGAGAGTAGTCAAGCGGTGCTATACTTGTTCGGAGCAGGATCCTTACCTCGTTGTTCATCGCCATGTCCCCTTGAAACAGGCCTGGTCTTACCTCCGGGTCGATATCCTCCTCAGACTGAAGACCGTCCACATCATCTCCTCCTATATTATATCCGGCTGTGAATCAAAATTTTGCAAACACGTTAATGCAAGCCATAAGGTATTTGTTGTATACTGTTATAGTATATATAATGCTATATTTCTATTTCAAAAAATATTGGAAATTTTATTGATTTATTAATTATTTGGAATTAGATTATGCCATTCAGTGGTGTATCACATAGCTCTGGGATAAATAGGTAGACTTGGATATCTACTTACTTTTGTATTGTCAAAATCAGGGGTCTCCAAATTTGAGATACACTTTAGCATCGCGGGCCAATATTTTTCGAGAATTAGTTAGGTTATGAAATTGAGGAATAGATAAGATTTATTTCGAAAAATATATGTTTATTTATATAATTATTTTATTTTATTTTTGTATTTTACAATTCAAAACTAGTTTTATTATGATACAAGTAAGTTACTTAGTGAAACGTTTGGAACTGCTTGTTGYTAAAAATGTCTTGATAGTTGGTATCAAACTTTGTGGTTCCATTATAGTAGCGTCGTTTGTAAATGTTCATCATTTAAGTTAGTTCTGTACTTTGATTTAATGTATTTAATTTTTGAAAACGTCTGCTCACATAAGTATGTGGAGCTAAATAGTGAAATAATTTCACGCGCATGATTTTTGAGATTTGGATATGATTTCTCTGGCAACATGGCGTAAAATTATTGGAGAGTAGTGTCCTCGAAATAGT